GCGCCGCCCCTGACTATCCAGCATAAATAAAGTTAGTTTAGTTTAGGTTTCCTCCTGTAGTACCTCTAGGAAGAACAGTTTAGAACTGATAGAACTATCCAGTATAAATACAGTTAGTTTAGTTTAGGTTTCTTCTTGTTGTAACACTGGATCAATAAGCTAGAGATAATCTTTGCTAGGCTTTGCTAGGCCTCCAGGAAGAACAGTTTAAAACTGATAAAGTTATCCAGTATAAATAAAGTTAGTTTAGTTCAGGTTTCTTCCTGTAGTAACACAAGGTCAATAAGAAATGATCTTTACTGGACAACCTCCGGAAGAACATAAATAGCTATGTTCATATGAACATAAATAGTTATATATGAACATAAATAGTTCTGTTATTAAAGTTTAGGACAATCTTCTCAATACAAAACAAATAAAGAAAACAGATTAGACAAAGTCAATATTTATTTTTCCACATTAATGTTAAATAACTTGTGTATATATCAAGATAAACTATGATTGTTCGTACAATGGAATTTGCAATAATTAATGACCTGTCATATTTTTCACATACTAGATGTCTAGATATCAATTCAACGTGTAATGCGATAATATACATTTAGACCTTTTTTCTCGTGGCTTTCCAAGCTAACAAGGTTAAAACATTACCTATATAGACGATCAGCTAGCTGGAGCGATCGCCCTTTTCACTCAACCGAATCTACAGTCGCAAGGAAGAATATTTTTAACATGAGTTTTTTTAATAATATCCATAATAATATATAGAGGTCAGTGTATCAACCACTAGCCTGACTAGAAAATATATTATACGATGGTATAGTCCAAAGCAATCCAGTTGCTTTCAAATGCATGATCGTATCTCACAGAAAATTGTTGATTGTATGTTTTTGAAAAAACTGGCTTGATAGACCAGCCAGGATCTACCAAAAAGGTTAGCCAAACTACTTTTAGTTGAAAAGAAGCCAAATAATTATCTTAGTTTATCAGCTGAACAAATGGCTGAATAGAGAGAGCGTTTGCACTCATTCCCCAGGGACCAACTCAACAAAAGCCATGGCGGCCATCTTGGTGTTCCAGACAAGAGTCTAATTAAAATTCTTTTGAATTGGAACACCAGCATGGCGGCTGTGACATCATGTGCAAATGCTCTATATTGGATAGAATCACAACAAATCATTTGACGATTGCAGATAACTCTGACTTAAAAAGACAACAAGAACTTGGCGTTTCCAGCAAAGCAGTGTTTTCAAAATTATTCAAACGTCTGTCGTTGAGAAAGTGGATGGCTCAAGTATAATTTTACAAATGTACGATAAGTTTAGACAAAATTTAAGTCGGTCATTTCTTATCTAGTTTGTTGCTCGAACAGTTGGTAGTCGGCCAAGCTTGCTTACTGCAATGTAAGAATGGATGAAATTCTCGTTTTGAAAAGAATTGCGTCGTTACGAAACGCTAAAATGTCAGAATTTTTATGAATGCTGGTTAGGAAAAAGCAAAGAAATTTCTAACAAAAATCACTCCTTCATCTCACTGCATTTGTGGACTGGTTTTTAGATGGTAGTTTATGGGCAGGTGATCAGGATGCGGGCTGGGGGAAGACGCGTGTCCTTCGACCAAATCCGAGTTATCCGCGGGAACAAATGGCTTGATCGGCGTTTGAAGGATTTTTTTAGCGATTCCAACACATTTGGCAGCTTGCCTTCTTCATGAACTTCCTACAAAAGAATGTGATATCACAGTGAGCTCGATGTATACCTGGAGCGTGAACTTGAGTCCAACAAGTGATCGAAGGTCAAAGATGGCGAAATTGAAGATCTATTGGACGTCAACCCAGTCCCTTTCTATTGATTTTGTCTGCGCGGTTGGCACGAAGCTGGCAAGACGTTAGCCTGTGTTGCAGTCAGTGGACTGGGACACAGGCTAGCAAGACGTGTGTCGAAATTTCGTATTTTGACATCCTTTTAAAGAATAACACTATGGTTTCATGAACTGATAACCTGTTTAGCGATACGGTCCGTTAGAAGAAACTGGAATTAGCTGCGGAAAATGGGGTTCGGCGACCTTCCTATGAATATTGGACGTCAATTCTAGTAGTTCACGGTTTACTCCCATTGCTGCAATGATTGATCATTTCATTGGGCCTATTCACTGTGTTTGTTTTTGCTCATCCAGATTAAATCTATTTACAAAATACTGTTTTGCCTGCCGTTTCTGTTTCCACAACGAAGAGTCGTACCCACGGGTGGAATGGTGGGGTCCGCTGCCCCCCCCCCCACTTTTCGTCAGCACCAATTTTGTAATTCTGTCAAAACTGAGGAGAAACTGGGGGGCGCAACCTCGTAATGTCTTCATCCATGACATAAAATATGATTATCATAAAACGCATAAGATGCATAAATCTATTGAGAATGCATAAATCTATTGAGAAATCTATTCTAGAATGCATAAATCTATTGAGAAAGCTTACCTTTTCCAGGCATGATAATAAATGTGATCTTTCTTTAAGTTTGGTGATACTCAATAATGATCTTCGTCATTGCACCCTTGGTGACATTCTTCAAATAATAAATATAAACTCAGCGTTAGTTGTACTCATTGGTAATTTATAAATTAAGTAACTTTATACTGGATAGCTCTATGAGTTCGATATTGTTAACCTAGAGTCTAGATGTCCATTTGAAGGCATTTCATTATTGTCCCAGACAATTTTGATATTATTTTGCATTAATTTTAAGTGTCTTACACGCGTGAAAATCTCACAGCTTGTCAAGAAGATGTGTTCGCACTGCTTGTTCCCAGTTGTTGAAAAGTCCGGAACAAGTTGTTATCATCTTGTAACAAGGTTGATGGCATGTCATTGGAACAGCATTGCTACAACTCTGCTGCAAGTTTGTTACAACTTGTCCGTTTTTACGTGTCTACACATGTAAAAAGGCACAAGTTGTTACAGGTCTGCAAACAAGTTGCTACAAGTCTGTTCACAAGCTGTGGACAACTTGTGTTCGCACTGCTTGTTCCCAGTTGTTGTAACAAGTTTGGAACAAGCTGTTAACAACTTGTAACAAGCTTGATGGCATTATCAGACTTGTTACAAGGTTGTTCTAACAAGTCTGACATAGTCATAATATAACAAGAATATTACAAGGTTGATGGCACAAGGTTTTAACAATATTGTTATATCACGACTGTATGGAACTTGTTGGAACAACCTTGCAACAAGTCTGACGATGACAGTTCATATAAATCGTTTATTACAAAATGTACCAGCTTTGCAGTCAAAGTCACAAGATTGAATTAAGCTGAAAAACTCTTACAATGAATTGCGTAAAATTTGTGTTATATTTTACTGCTACAAGATTAATTAAGGCCATGTAAAAAAATATCCCGGTTTATCATCAGTCGAATCACATTTAGTAGGTGCACGGAAAAATATGCTCAAACACGCAGCACAGTTGTATGGTATAATATTTTCAATGCTGTTACACTTTTCATTAATATTACAATTGCCAAGGCCCAAGCGCAATATCATACACGTTGTCAATACGAACTCGTGTTTTCAAAATGGCCGAACATCGTGAAAATCTCGCGTGCGTTCCTCGCACGGTCCGCTGGAAATAGTGATTTTTTAAAAAATAAAAAATAAAAAAATCCATGCGGCACGAAAAAGGGATGCGGGCGGCGCTGATGATGCTATGAAACCGGGATATTTTTTTTACATGGCCTAAGCCGAAAAATTTAAAAATACAAAATTACGAATCTAAGTTTAAAATGTGAGCGAAATGTACTATAAATGATTTCTTAAACCGATCTGTCTAACACATCGGAATTTCAAAAGTTCTAGGATTCCTCATGTTCCGAGATACATTAACTCTAGGAGGTAACAGATGGGCTAATTTATAATTATCATTCTTAACAATATTACTAAATAAATCATCACTCAAATTCTCCCATCTTTCACCAAGTTTGGAAAGTTTATTCTCTGCAAACGCATCATTATAACTGAGGTCTGGAAAGATCACATGCATTGCTCGTCTCTGAATCCTTTCCATTTCATTCGACAAATATGATGGCAGATTACTATGAAAGACCTGACACGCATATTCCATAACAGATCTAATGCAAGAGCAGTCGATGAGATTTGGCGTTCAAACACGAGCGAGAGTTACAACTCTCATCAACTGTCATCCTTGTTTGACTAGGGTATACCTTTCACTCACAAAAAATTAATTCAATATTAACATATGCATGGTTAAAAACTAAATATAATTTTGATTACACTTACCAAACTATCACAGTATAATACTACAATTCCCCATAGGATTTTTTGTCTAATTTAGAAGTTCATAATATGGTTAAAGTCAACTTGTTATCTTAAAGAAATGAGTTCAACATTCTTACATTGTTCACACAACAACAGCAGTGTGCCGCCATCTTGCTTGAGACATTTCTGGAAGTTCTTGCCAAGTATAACTTTCAAAGTTGAAAACTTCAACTGAGTTTACTAGAAATCCTACCTCATCGATTCCTCCTATTACTACAATTTTGTTTCCAATAACAACAGCAGTACATCCCTGTCTTTTACATCTCATTGGCGGCAACATGGAACTTTGTTCAGTCTTGACATTGTAAATGATAACTGTATCTAATTCATTGACATGTTTGTCAATGCCGCCTATAACAATGATGTTGTCTCCCCATCTCACAGTTGCCATCTCACTCACTTCGTACGGCAGTGGTGCCAACTGTTTACATTCATTCTTCTTTATATCATACAGTACGACACTGCTGAGGCTGTTCCAGTAACTGAAAGTTGTACGTCCACCCACGATCGACATACTATCATTAAATAATTGCGAGCTGTGGTACAGTCTTGGTTCTGGCATTCTTGATAAGGTCTTCGCAGCATAAGGAGGCGCAAGCTGGACTTCATGAATACAGTCAGATATTGCATTGCCATTATAACCACCAGCAACTATTAGATGATCATTATACAGCACACTGCTGTGGTATCCTAACTTACCAGGCAGTTTAACAGGATAGTCACTCCAATGTGTTGAGAGATCAGGGTTTGGGTTTATATTCATTCTGATCATATCATTGACATAGCCAGAACAGTAACCTCCAGCAATTGTCACATGATTGTTATATACAAATGAAGTTGCTCCCGAACGCTTCTTTGGTAAGGATTGTAATGGCGACCATGTTCTTTGACGCCAGTTAAACATCTCTACAGAGTCAGTTCCATCACCTCCAGCCATGATTATGTTTTCCTTATCACCACTTGCTGTATTTCTTACTTTTCTTGTGTTTTCTTCTATCTTGTCCTCCATCTTGACAAGAACATCCTTCATTTCATCAAAACCTTCAATCAAAGCAGTTTTCAGTCCTCTCACCTCATTATTCACTGCTTCGAGTCTTCCTTCCATGCTTGTTTTTATGTCTGCGCTGTTTCTCTCCATGTTCGTCTGCATGTTCTTCTCCACATTTGCAATTTGTGTCTCTACATTCGCTTGTATATCATTCATGCAGGTTTCCATGGCAACCACAGTCGCCATTCTTGCAGTATTGGTCGCCACATTTGTCTCGACAGTCGCCAGATTTGTCGCCATCGTCAAAGATTAGATACTATAAAGATGTGTCACTCTGCGAAAATTATGTCCGAGATTTTTTTATAGCCGCCATTTTGCCAGTAAGTGTCAAATTCGTCAAAATTCGTCATATAGCGCGAGCATCGCGATGGCAACCTATTGTATTCAGTCTCGCCGCCATTTTGGCAGTAAGTGTTATGCACTCGTCATCTCGCGTGATCACTCGTGATCA